TTTTGACTTTCAAGACTTCATCTTTTAACACAACTTATCTCTTGCTTGGAACCTCCGCAGTGGTGATCCCCCAAAAACTGCCAGGTACCAGATTTGCCCTATGAAAAACCAAACAAGGTGAGTAGAGGTTAATGCCGCTGGCAACAAAAGCGAGTCCACCCTTAAGTGAAAATGTCCAAATTGGGTCCAAAGTGTCAATATTTTGTATGGCTACCATTATTTTCCAGCACTGCTTGAACCCTTTTGGGCATGGAGTTCACCAGAGCTTCTAAAGGTTGCCACTGGAGTCCTCTTCCACTCCTCCATGACGACATCACGGAGCTTGTGGATGTTAGAGACCTTGCGCTCCTCCACCATGCAGTGGTTGTCTTGGAGGTGTGTTTGGGGTTGTTATCATGTTGGAATACTGCCGTGCATCCTAGTCTATTTCACGTGCTGCAGCTCAGTTTCAGGGTCTTGGCAATCTTCTTAAAGCTTAGGCTATCTTTATGTAGAGCTACAATTCTTTTTTTTTTTTTTCGATCCTCAGAGTTCTTTGCCATGAGGTGCCATGTTGAACTTCCAGTGACCAGTATGAGGGAGTGAGAGAGTGAAAACACCAAATTTAACACTCCTGCTCCCCATTCACACCTGAGACCTTGTAACACGAATGGGTCAAATGACACCAGGGAGGGAAATTGGCTAATAATAAAAATTTTCACTTAGGGGTGTACTTGCCAGCGGTTTAGACATCAATGGCTGTGTGATTTTGAGAAGACAGCAAATTTACACTGTTAGACAAGCTGTACACTCACTACTTTACATTGTAGCAAAGAATCATATCTTTGTGAGATACTGTATGTTTGGTTTGTAAATAAGAAATAAATCTAACCTTTAGTTTACATAAATATCACCAAATAACAGCAGCCTGTCACAGATGAAGTAAAAAAAGGCTGCAGCCTCTCCTGGCAGAGGGATTAATATCTAAATCAGAGAAAACAGGTCATACTTTTATTTTCATTAATATTTTACTGTTTCCAAGCTATCTGAATGCACAGAGCAGATATGAATTTCTGTTGTACACAATGCCGAATCTATAATATTAAATGTTTTTAATGTTCCTATGGAGATTATTGGGGGGAGAGAGAGAGAGAGAGAGAGAATTTAATTTTCTACACTACATAATCAAATTGTGACCATGTACAGCATCATTTTGTATATAAATAAATAACACCAATTTAAAATGTTATAGTAGCAGAATTAAACAGTCTCCAAAAAGTGTGCAAACTGCAGTTTCTCATCAGCAACCATACCTAACACGTTTTATAACACCATATTTGCTTAAAAGATTCAAGATCTTTCATTACTTTACAAAAATGAAAATCAATTAACATTCGAGACCTCACAAGAATTGAAAAAACCATTACACAGTCATCACAAGACAATTGCTCGATTTTATTCATATTTTTAACCCAAAATAAGTCTCCATTGAAAAGTTTTCATTAAAACAACCAAAAAGTGTCTGTAAAACATCAAATAGAGGCTTTAGCCTCTCACACTGCATGAAGGCATGAAACACAGTCTCCCTCAATGAACAAAAAGGGCACCCTTGACCCACAACAGGATTCAACACAGAAACAAAAGCATTAACTGCAATTGCAGAATTCTCCATTATAAAGCCCCAGTTTTTTTGATTAACGGTGACTTGTATAGTGCTCGCCACTGTGGTCTTACATTTTCCCCCATATGCAAAACAGAACGCCAGTGTGTATCTACCCTCCTGTCCAGAGACTTTTTGTTTAAAGACTTTACACAGAGTTTAAATAAAGCTTTCCCATTTGCCCGATTTGGCCCTACTAATACCAAGTTATCAAAATGCAAAAAAATACCCACGCAACCTGTCAGATTTGGAGACAACATTAGATTAGGATAAGGGTCTTTACAGTCAGGCCTGCATGACCCCCTGAAATTGTCTCTCAACAGTTGCAGTTCATCTTTTGTTAAAGAGGCCCGCCATTTCTCTTTGGGCTACTATACGAATGGGTCTCATCCCCAACTGCAACTGTCTCACTGTTACCAAAGTCGGGACCTGCTAACCTGAATAAAGTCCCCAGTGTTGTAACTCCAGACCTGAGAAGACCAGATGCAAGCGCAGGAAGAGACTTTTCACGAGCAATATCCATAGCTGAACCATAAATCATAGGCTCCTTTAATAACCAGTACAGGGCCCCAGCACTTCTGGTTCGATGTACCGTTACAAGCGACTGAACTTTAAAATGATTACGATAAAACACAGGGATTTTTCTGAGATTCATCTGCTTTGGATCGATCCAAAATAAAGTTCTGTCCAGTCCCAGTCCATCAAAAGTCTGTAAAATGCCACAAGCCACAGATTTCCAGTTAGAATCCACTGATCCCAAGAGAAGATGCTGCACAAACTGCAAACGGAAAGCAGCTGTTCTGCTTTGTAGATGCACCAGTCCATGCCCACCTTCTTCTTTAGGTAGATACAACACACTCATTTACAGGTTTAACCTTCGGCTTTGCCTCCTTTATCCCTTTCAGTAAACCTGAGACCCCTGCTGCTTCCTGGCCTCCTTCCGCCTCGACTGCCCCCCCCCTGTACTTGAGGTACCGGGTGCTTCATCCCCAGCACTAGGTGCTCCAGTTCCTGCAGACTGCTCTTCTCCCACATTATTCTCATTAAACCTACTATAGTTTTTACTATGTTTTGATTTAGGACAAACATGCACCAGATGCCCCATCTGGCCACAACCGAAACATTTCATTACACTTGTAGCATGACGCTGCGTGAGCTGCTCAAAATTCTCCATACCGGGGTCAGCCGTGCTCCCAGCAAACACTGGAAACAGACGCCCTGGTAAAACGCAATTCACCAAAAAAACCGTGGTGCTACTAACTTTAGTAAATAGAACCATAAACGTCTGAAAAAAGAAAAACCTTAAAGTATACAAAAAGAAAAGATAGAAACAAAGAACAAGCTACTGACACAGCACTCACTCCACACTCACTCCATACTCACACTTCCGCTCAGAGAGAGAGAGAAGTAGAGAAAGACAGAAATAATGAAAAAGAAAGTTTTTGGGCTGAAAAGACGGAGAGAGAAAGTGGTGGAGAGAGGTAGAGGTTAAAATGAGTCTCACCCTTGTTTCTTACTTGACTGAGCATTCACCAGCCTTCACCCCAGGGCTCTGCAGGGTCCGCTCTCTCCTCCTGTGGGTGTGTGTGTGCGACTGCAAAAAGAAACTTGGAGGTCAATGGAAAAATGAAACACATCAATGACAGGAGGGAGGAAAGAAGATAAAAACAGAAGACCGCAATAAATGACAGTGAAAAATTAAGAGAGGAAAGAAAAGCAGAGAGAGGGAGGATTGAGCGAAGGACAGAAAGAAAAACAGAAACAAAGGACAATATGCAGTGTTGCTACCCACTTACCGCTTCTGCAAAATCTCAGATTATGTGGAATCATGTTTGTGATGGCTCATTCAATACTTGCACATTGCAACTAAAGTATGGTTAAGATAGGGTGACTACAACTACTATTTTAAGATTAAGGAAAATTAAAAGAATCTCTTGTTCACTGGACACCACTGTTCAAAGACCCTCTTCAACCCCCGTCTTTTCTTTTAGCACCACTATGAGGCAGATTTTTTTTGGTTATATACTGAATTAACTCAACGTACGTTTTCATGACATTTAGTCCACACATTTATGTCCCCCTCAGGATGAACTGTAATAACTTTAAGCTAATAAGCTAAACTAATGACACCAGCTTTAGCTATAGTGTTAGTGCTAATTAACAGATTTGCATGCTAACACACAAAATTACTATAGTGAACATGGTAAATTGTATACCTGCTAAACATCAACATGTTAGCATTGTGATCATTGTTAGCGTATAGCCTCACAGAGCATGGCTGTATACTATAAGTCTTGTTTATGTTGTAGTTGGTCGAGGTTGAGCTAACTGTTTATATGCTGTTAAGTGGCTTAATCCATAGAATGGTGTCACTGTCATGGGCTACATTTCCATTCAGTTTAAACACTCCCAAGAAACTCCAGGACACAGGTGATTCACTTCCATGAAGTTTACTGGGAATCTTGTGAAACTGTAACAGTACAATGAGATGTTTATATCATTAAAGAAGCTAAACACACAGTATGAAGGTAAGCAGCACCGCTTAGCTAACGTAGCTGTGTAGTTTATAAAATGAAGCACAACCAAGCTAGCTTCAATGAAACATAAAGCTAACTTAGCCTTGCGTAAACTAATTAGCGTCTTAGCCATCACAATATTCTTAGAAACTCAAAATAGGTGATACTTACAGACGTTGCCTAAGCAAAGAGGGAGAATGAAGAGCAATCAACTCAGAAGCTGGGAGAGCTCACACATGACTGTAGCAGATCACCGCATGGCAGTTTCCTTTTCGTTTCCCAGCATACACTGGTCCTAGGTTGCCACGGTGACAAAAATAAACAAACTACACTGAATTGGTGAAACGCAGTGACAAACACATTTTCTAGGAGCATAAAAGTCACATTTCATAAGATGATCAATGTTTTATATTTAAAATCTGAATCTGTAAAGTAACTGGTAACTTCAGCTGTCAAATAAATGTAGTGCTGTACAAAGATAAATAATTCCCATAGTGGAATCCCAAGAACTATAATCTCCTCAAAATTGCATCAAAGTACATAACTCTGGTAAATGTATTTGGTTACTGTCCACCACTAGATAGATGTGAGTAAAAGACAAGTGGTCACAGTCACCTCAGAAGGTAACAGGACAATTGTCTTTAACTTTCTCCTCACAAGATTCAAACCTCTGACCTTGAGACCACAAGTGGCTCTGAAAGACTCTTCTACATGCTAAATTGATAGATAATTGAGCTTGACAGAGAGTGGAGAGATTGATTCAGGAATTAATCAAACACACACACACACACACACACAGAGTACGTGTATGTGTAAGCAGATAAATAGATACAAATGCACAAACACACATTGACACACATTTTAATAATTCTCAAATGTCTGCTTGGAAAATAGTCTTGCACACAAATGTCAGAAAGTAGCCACCAATTACACACACACAATGAGTCCAGAATGTGAGTGTATCCCCGGGCTGTGGTTCCCATTAACATCCTGTATGTGCTGCCGTGTTAACCGCCTGCAGTGCCAATCAGCTGAAATGCCAGTCTGCAGCCTCTGGCAGGAGCCCGAGTTGGTATATCCTGCTATCTTACTGTTTTCTTTTTCCTGCTTCCTGCAGGGAGACAGACAGAGAAACACACAGACAATCAGAAAGGTGGAGTGGAAGAGATAAAGAAAAAGGCCAGAGGCAGAAACAGGTAGCCAATGTTGAAAGACACCAACAGTAAAAGACTGTTCTTGGTGGATTGCCTGGTTGATTAGTAATCTCAAAAAAGCATTTTCCCACCTACCAATGGCAACAGAGTGACAGGGACAGTTGAATTTCTCAAATGATATGCACCACAAACTATTCAGTTCCCCTCCATTGTACTGAGATAGAAACAAAGAAAAGATTTTAAAATCTTTTGAAATTAAACAAAATCTATCTGCTTGGATATGACTGAGTTAGTAGAAATGGTTGTTTTTGTAAGTTTGCTTCCTCATGTGTCTTTAATTTCACCTTCTGCCTTTGTGTGTTTCCCACCTGTTTTGATTGTCTGTCCTGTCCTAATTAGTTTCACATGTGTCTAGTTAGCCTCCCCTCACTTATTTCCCTTTGTCTGTTGTTGTCCTCATGTCAAGGGGTCCAACCCTTTTCCTAGTGTGTCCATGTGTTTTTGAATTTCTGCCTTCTTTTGGATTCTTGTTCATTCCCATTTGGATTTTGTTGCCTAATTGGACTGCTTGCCTGTTTTGACCTTTGCCTGTCTCACCTTTTGTTGTAAGCCTGAACACCTTTAGAAGAAGACCCTTTAGACCATTGGCTTTAGGAACCATTTTCTAGTAGTATCATTAATCAATTCAACAGTGTAACAGTTCAGTCATGTAAGAGGACTTGTTTAATGCCCAAACTTGTATGGTATTTTTTCTTAATAAACCAGCAGATACTTCAAGACTTTGTGATCACTGACATAAAAAAAACAATTTTCACGCTGTATAAAATCCTGCGGATCCAAATGAAGTCCTAATACACATTAGTATTTATAACCATACCAAAACAGTTTCTTTGTTGAGGAATATTGAGGATATAATGTAATGAAAACATTGAAATGGGAAATTACAGTGGTTAAAAAATAACATTTTACAACTATTTGGATTGAGAATAGTACAAACAGTGGAAAGGTTCTTCTCTGACTCTAATCCCTGGAGCAAGGCAGTCTGACTCTTGTTTAGTGATTGGAGTTTGGTTGATATGGATGTACTTGTTTTAGCTCTAAATTAAAAGTATTTGATTATGAAGAGTACAGTACTCTGTATCCATTATTTTATCATACATGTGGTCTATAGAAAATAAAAGTAGATTTTCTCAGAATAGATAAGCTTTGTGTGTGTGTGTTTTTGATTCTGTGTGAATCTTTTATCTTTTGCCTGTGACACTGTTTGCATAAAACTTGTCGCTAGGAATCTATAAAAAGAATTTCTTAAAATATAAGCCATCAGCAGGCTGTGAGCTCCCATCAACCCTCTTGTCAGCTCAGTTTGTTGTGATTTGTTTGTTTGGGTGTAATTAGCACAAAATGCAGCCACAATGTGGTGCTGACGCCTGGAAGTAGTGAGACTTATGACAAAGAAGCTGCAGTATATGCATTATGCAAATTACGCTGTTTAATGATGACTGCCAAGGCTGTGTGTTGTACAGTGTGTGTGTGGAGCTCAGTTGTGTGTGTTTGGTAAATGAGGCAATATGAAATAATGAATAAATACAGTTGCATTTTTAAATGAAGCAATAAATTATGGAACAATGAAATATTATTTAATCAGTTTTATTTATAACATCATTCTCAGTGTCATTCTTTTCAATTATTCTTTCATTAAATTAAAACTTGCTATAGTTAAGCATCAAAACTAAATTTACTTCATAATAACAGATGCAAAATGCAACGTGGCAGCACTGTGTTTTGGAGTTACCTTTCACCAAAGGCCTCTGGACATAACATACATAGATCCAGAACTGAGCCAGAAATCCTGTAGTGTGAACATAAGACATTTAGATAAAGAGCAAGTTCATCCTCACCAGCCACAAACAGCTTACAACTGAAATCCTCCTTCCTCCTCAGGCCTGACCAGTCCAAAGAAAAAAAAAAAAGCAAATATTAGAAAATAATTAGAATGAGATGTGTGCGCTCCGTTGATGTGAATATGAAGCAGCTGATGAGTGGTGCATCGCATGTCCATCTCAGTTGTTGTTTGATTGGAGTAGACTGCAAATGAATTGGTTGGGAGAGTGAGAGGGGATCAGCTGCCTATGACAATTCACTGACAGACAATGATCTGTGAGTGTGTTTGTGTGTGAGAGAGAAAGCACTGAGTCTTTGTGTCACTTCAGCTTTAGTGTGTGTGTAATTGGGGGTTCAATTACTTGCACTAGAGCACGTGTTGAGAGAGGGAGAGAGAGAGAGAGATCTGTGTAGTTGTTTTGCCGATCGAGTAAATTAAAGGTATGCCCATGTGGCGTGCATGCTTAAATGCATGGGGTGTGTGTGTGTGTGTATCAGATTCCATTAGTATTGAAGTGTTTCTATATGTTGCTGTAACAGATCCAGTCTGTGTGATACTGAACAGACTGTACTGTGTGTTTGTGGGGGGGGGGTTAAATGGAAGTTTGGTGCTGTAAAAGACAAAGAAAAGGCTAGAGAGAAATAGTAGAAGCCAGACCCTATAAAACCCTGTGTTCTTAAATTGGGAGTTAAGCAGTTCTCTTAATCAGTCATGTCCCATCATGGGAGTTTGACTATACAGTCTGCGTGTCCTTTGTTGATTTGGAGGATTACAGCCATGTCCCCTGGGGAATCGAGCGTGTGGGGGGGGCTACGAGTCCTTAGGTCCTTGTATAACCTAACCAACCTGGGAACACCTTGGGATCCCCCAGGAGAAGATGGAAAGTGTTACTGGTTATGACATTTGGGACACCTTGCTTAGCCTGCTGCCACTGTGACCTGACCCGAATAAATGGAAAATGATGGATGGATAAATTTCAGTTGCCAGACACAGTGTCACCAGCTAAAACAAATTTGTCCTTTAAATTTGGTGGAACACATGCAGAAAACAATACACTGTGCACTGTATCACTATGCAAGGTGTGTAGGAGTGCTTGTCATTTTAGCAGACAAACTCAGGGTGTACAAATTTTAACAGCTTAGTCTGCTCTGGGTGGATAAATTAAACACGCCCCCAGACTCAAACCTACATCCAATGTCCATGTGTTGTATTGTGTGCATGTGTCTGTGTGCGTACTTGAGTCCTTGCCCCTTTGTCACTTCTTTGCATTTCCTCTTTCCAGTGTTGATCCCATAATCCATAGCTGCAGAGAAGACAGTGAAACAGAGTGTAAGGTGGAGGCAAAACATGTGCCAAACTTAAAATCAATATCTTCAAATTATAATATAAAGAAAATCTGTCAGGGTTTTCAGAATGAGTGCTAGCAGGAGTGTGAGTCCAAATGCAAGACACTGGAGAAGGAGATAGAGTTCTGGGATTTTATTAACACTTACTGAAAACACAGGCGTACACTGAAAGGTGCAGACAAAGTGCTAAAAGGCAGGAAATCCAGAATCCAACAGAACACACTTCCAAACCACAAGACTGAGTGTGAACACACTACAATGACCAGACAGAGACTGAACAGAAATACCAGACATATATACATAAAGAGACACACACAAACTTTACTCTGTCTCTAAATCACAGAAACTACTTTATGTCCATTGACTTCCTGGAGGGTAGGTAATGTTTGGAAGCGAGAGAAGAGGCAGCAGGCGGATGTCTTGTCACTGTGTGCTGCAGCTTAGTGTGTTTTTCCACCAGTGTTTTTGAGGGTGTGTCTGACTAGAAGCTAGGCAAGCATTATGACGGGTGGTTTTTTTGTGACGTCACATGGAAGCAGAAGATAAGGCTGGACTACAAACGAGCTGTTTTCAGGCAGTTCAGGAGTAGTTTTTTTCTGTGGGAGATGGGAACTCCCTTTGGGGTGGACTTTGGGCTTTTTCACTTTGCAAACCAATTACATGCACAAGAAGGTAAATAACTCAATAAAGGAAAGGGAAAAAGCCAAAAAGCATATGACATCTTAAACTAATTCTATTAGGCTAATTGCTATTGGAAATAGCATGAGCAACATGTGAAGCACATTTAGATACACTGGGGAAAGGTCCTGAAAACCCAACATGGTTTTCACTCGAACGATAGAACAATATATGATAGAGCATTTCACTTGTCAAAAAAGTTTACTTATCCTGAACAAGTTATTGCATTAATTTTCAAGCCCTGCATGTATCACTCCCAACCTCTGAAGCTAGCGAAATGACGTTCGCTAACAAATTAACCCAGCCACTGTTTGCTAAAAAGCGAGGCTTACTGTGGCATAAGTCGCAAGGTTGGTTGTATTCTTCTAATATGTAGTCTTAAGCCAGCTTTTCATCTCCTGCTGCAGTGCATTGTTTTCCTTTCTGACAAAATAGAAATTAAAGAAATTAAATTAAATCTATTCTTTTTCTAACCCAAACCTTCTTACACTGAAGCCATCATGTTGTTGTCATTTACTCACTGTTGGTGTGGACAGCATAGGCTGTAATTTTGGGAATCTGCACACATCACATCAATCTGCACACGTCAATCAATGACAGGGATTCATTGTTTACATTTTGACAGATAGATCTGATGCACAATTGGGAGAAATTATCATGCATTTTTGACTGTCCAATATCCCACCAACATTTAGTGTTGTCAACGAAAACAAAACATGTACTTCATCGTAGTTTTTCTTATTAAAGATCTGTTTTTAACTTGTCAATATCTCGTCTAGTCATGGAAAAACGGTTGTTGACAAACATTTTTGACATATTCAAATTCATTCATTTAAATTACAGCGTCTACTGGAAAATGAAAATGGCTGTTACTGTGGGAACTGGCGTCATCAGAGCTAACCCTGAAAATGTAATTCAATACAGCCAGAGAGCAAAAGGACATGAACTTCCACAATAGATTTTGTTAACACAGGTGTGTAGACCACTGACGTCAAACATGGTGAAGAATGTTAATGTCTTTAAAAATAATATGTAATTTTCACTTTCATTTTATCATCTTCTTCAATGAGTATGAATTCAGTTTACGTATCATGTTCAGTACTACTCAGCCTTTGAAAACAGTTGTAAAATATCTTCTGTGGCTCTGATGTCACACCGATGTCATCCAGGTTATAAAAAAGTATAAGTAAAATCCTGTGTTACAATCCATTTGAATCAGGAGAGATTTCAGCTAATTTTGTTCTTTGCTGTCTAAGATACAAGGCTAACACATATTTTTACTTATAAAACACTGAACTGAAGACTGAAGTTTTTTATTCATGGGAATTTTATTGGCACATCTTTGCTTTTCTGCTTTTCTGTTTTGAGAGCTTTGGACAACTTCTGTCTTCACACTTAGTATTAAACCAATTGAACTGCACAACTGAACTGATATTGTTGTTGTTGATGCGACTGTGTTGTGTCACTGTTTATTTATTGATGACATGTGATTTGTAAACACTGAATTTACTTCATGTAATGCCTTATTGCTTTTACTACAAAGTACATTTAAAATTGAGAGAGATGAATGGGTGGAGTGGAGGAAGGTGGAGAGTCGGAGGGATGAGGCAGGGAGGCCTGGATGGAGGGAAAAGGATAGAGGTAGAGAGAGAGAGAGAGAGAGAGCGAGAGAGACAGAGAGCGGTAAGGCTATAATGAAGGAGGTATTGATTTTCTATAGAAGCTCTTTAATCAGAAGCTGTACTGACATACCCTGAAGGAGGATGTGTGTGTGTGTGTGTGTGTGTGTGTGCATGTGAGTGTGCATGTGTTTGTGTGCAGGGCAGGTCCCATTCAAATTACACTTCATCTGTTTCTCTGTGGACACCTGAGCATGCCTGTGTGGGAGTGTTGGGATGGGGTGTGTGTGTGTGTGTGTGTGTGTGTGTGGGCAGGCAGTGGATAGATAGATGAAGCTGCCCAGTAGATGGATGAGTGGAACAACCGTCGTTCATCATCTGGAGAACAAGCAAGGAAGGAAACGTTGTGATGGAGAAGAGGAAGAGGAGAACAGGAGGGGTTTAAGGGAAGGAGACAGAAGTAGTTGAAAAAATAGGGTGGGGGGAAGAAAAGAATATTTGATCAGATAGGCGAAAGAGGAGAGGAAGGAAGGAAGGTGGGTAAAGAGAACAAAGAAAAAGGAAGTAAAAGAAAAGGCAAAATAAGTCAAAAGTAGAAGGGAGGGAAGAAGACAAAAAAGGGAATATTTGAAAAAAATGATTCGTGTAGATCAGGTGAAAAAGGGAGGAAGACAAAGGAGTAGGAAAATAGAAAGTGGGGAAAACAATATAGGAGGGAGGAAAAGAGGAAAAGCAGAGAGATGAAGAGGAGAATCAGAGTAGGAGTAGAGAAAAGGGGATAAATTTTTCTTCATCTTTTTCTCCTCAAGTGTTTTTTTTCCTCATCAGGACAATCAGTTTCATCAAATTCAGGATCTTTGTGCTAACTGTAATCATTTATACAGTTTTTTTAACATGGAAACAAAGGACTAACCTTGTAAGATGTTGCCATATTGTCCATCTCGATCCTAGTTCAGATTACGCAAATCATATCTGGTAGGATAACCAACAGTCATGGATAGGCAGATAGACTGTGGAAATATACTAC